AAATTTGTCAAATCTATTTAGGAACACAATATTGTCACAATCCTAACTTTATACTTTGTATTGGTTCTTTTTGATGTAAGGTCGTCACATGATTCTCTTTCTTGTGAACCAGGCAAAAAGCATAATCTCTATTACTTCAACTGCTGAAGCATATGATCCTCATACATTGTTCTCTCCAAATAGATGAAGAAACCCCACAGAATGAAAGTTTATCCAATGAAAGTAATATTAAAATTTTGAAGAGATATAAAAGGAAACTAGCTTGGGAATGAGATACCATGTCTCTTTTTATTTAAATCAACCTACAAAGTTTGAGTTGAAACCACATCATAAAGTTAGAGCCTCTAGTAATTACTTAATCGGTTAATGTGGGTTGACTACTTAGTGTTGTGTGCCCAAGAGGGCAGCACGTTTTGGGATGCCGAAAAATTATGATCGTCCATCTCTCTAATTTAATGTGACATCGATTTTGAATAGAAAACCGTTACAAAGAGGATGTTTAAGTGTTTTGCCGCTATAAGATTGGCTAATCGTACACAATAGCTTCAAAGGCCCTGATTTGGAAGGTATAATAAAGATACATTGACTATAATTAAACCATTAGAACTTAGTTAAATATGTTACCATATATTTAATAGCAAGAGAAGACAAGTTCTAAGATCATGATAACAAGATTAGGATCCTCTCTCGTGGTAGATACAATCAATTTTCTCAATGTTATTCTCTTATCGTGAGTTTAAGTGAGGCATTTATTCAAACAGATCATCCACTAAACAAATATTTAAATGTCGAGAGATTTAATACTTTAATCTTATGCTATTAATTGAAGTCAACAATTAATCAAAAAAGTTAAGACCCTTTTGCCCATTTAGTTTTGTGGGTACATAAGTGCCCTATTTCAAATGTAAATAAGCAAATATGTTGTATAAGAACTGAGAACTTGATGATGGTTGATATCATCGAAATGTTATTCATTTATTTGCCGTTTAGTAACATTGTTTTGAACAAAAAGCAATTGGGTCAAAACAATAAAAGAACATTTGATTGATTAATAAATGTATTTTAATATATGAGTCATGTGTATGTGCATATACGATCACATATCGATATAAGGTAATTTTGAAATTTTTGTATCAAAATATTGTAGTTTTAAATATTTTACCATACAAATATATTTTGAAAACACATTTCAATATTTTTCTTACATTGAGAAAGCATTTTAAAAAATATTTTTACACTAAATATATTCATAAAAATAACAACAATTTAGTAAATAAATTTAACACTATAGTATTTAAATAAAAAATTTATTAAAAACACAGTAAAAGGATAATTAATACAGTCACCTTATGGTATCTTTATTAAAACCTCCGCAGCATAGCGGGTCCTAAGGTTTTTCTGAGAAAAAAAAAAAGGCACCAACATTTTCATGAAATGTATATAACTAAATGTGTTAATTCTATCTGACTGAAATTCCACTTCATTTAAAATTTTGGAAATTTTTGTTGATAAACTTTGTTTTTCAAAATTAATTTCCAAATTTGAATTGTCAATATTACTTAGGCATTAAGCATTTGTTGAAATTTATATAAGTTAAGTTACATTTGGAATTCAAATCAATTTCTAATTAAAAAAGTACTAATAAAAACTATTACCCAAGTCTAGGGGAGGGTCTGGTGTCAGGTTCGGGTTTGGGTCTGGGTCCAAGGTCGGGTCCAATTTTGGTGTTAGGTCTGGGTCTAAGTCAAAGGGAGGGGTCGGATCTGAGGAAAGGTCCAGGGTCAAGTCCCAATTTAGGGTTAAGCTAGTGTCCAAAGTCAAGTTTGAGTTGGGGATTAGGTCTAAGTTCGAGGACTAAATAGGCCTAAGGTCAGGTTCAGCTCTAGGATTGGGGGTCAGATTCGGGTCTAGGGTCAAGTTCGGGTCAGGGTCTGGGTCTGGGTTGGGTCCAAGTCTAGGGTCAGGATTGGAGTCTAGTCCAAGTAGGGGTGTCCAAATTTAAAACAATTCGTTAACACGATACGAAGTTATAGGGTTTGAATTTTCTTTAAACTACTCGTTTCGTGAACAAGTGGATACGAAATGATTAATAAATGAATTGAGTATAAATAAAGTTAACTAAAAAAAAATATACGATACGACTTGTTTATATATTAGTTATATACGATTGATATACGACACGAATCCATATGACATGACTTGTTAGACATTAATTAATAAATGAATCAGTTATGGGTGAAATATTTTTTGACACAAGACTCGATGCGAACCAACTTCACTTTACCCAATTGACAAACCTAGGTTCAAGTCTGTGGTCAAGTGCGGGGTCCATGTCTGGGGTTGAGTTCAAGTCTAGGGTTAGGTTCTGGGTCCAAGGTCGAGGTTGGGGGTCAAGTCTACATCTGGAGTCGGGGGGGGGGGGGGGGGGGGCGTCGAGGTCTGTGTTTGTGTTCGGTGTCGAGTGCGAGTCTTGGTTCGAAGTCAGATCTGTGGTTGAGTCCGAGTACAGGGTTGAATCTTTAGTCCAGGTCTAGTGTATATGTGTGTGTATATTTTGGTATATTAGTATGTGTGAGTGTGTGTATTTTAGTTTATTAGTGTGTGTGTGTATTTTATTATATTAGTATGTATGTGTTATTAAATATGTATCTATTTTATTTTAATGTGTTAGTGTATGTGCGTGCATGTGTGTATTTTTAGTATATTAATGTATGTATTTGTATTATTTTTATGTCTTGGCGGATTTGAAATTCTTTGTTCTTATTATACAAATTTTCAACTATTAGATCAAAAGAGCCACACACATAATTGTGAGATGATCTGAGTCGAAAAACACAAGTAATTTTTATATTCTGCAAGATTTGAAATCCTGTACATTGAAAAAGAAAAAAAAGAAGGTGAGTGTTTGTTTGGTCACCGCGTCATTACTTTATAATATAATAACGACTCATTTTTTAAAGCAGTGTCTATAACCACCACCAATGCCTCTCCAAGCCTGCCAAGCTCCAAACTAAGAGAGAGAGATGGGAAGAGCACTTGTGGTGGGCAAGTGCTCTTCCAACGTCGAAAGCTAGCTGAGCTCCGAGGCTCGCTCTATAAAGTTTTGTTCTTTGTTCCTTCCCTATATCTCTTTCTCTCTGCCCTGCTTCTCCATATATGTAAAGCAAACTCATATATTTCAGAGGTACGACATTCAATCTGTGAGTGTGTGTGATTGTGAGAGTGTAAAACTCCTCAATTTCTGCACAATTTCTGTTCGTTGTAGCGTCTAATCCTGTAACTCAGGTAATCCTCTAATCCCGTCAATGATCAATTTTCGGATTCAACACTAAAATTGAAACAAATTTCAGGTAATGTATAAGCTTTGGTAGTGCTTGTTTCTGTGGAAATTTTCTTGGCATAAAAATTTATTTTTTCTTTGTAGCGCTATACCTACCTGACCTCTCTCCTTTCAATTATCACCCAGAGAAGCTATCCACTGCAATTCTTTATCTAGGACTAACCGTGAAAATATCTACTTTCTGGCTGTTCAATTTTATGCCTTAGAATACGCAGGTGGTCTTCAAATTATGTTCAGTCTCATTATCCTCCTCAATTTTTTTTTTCTGGGTGTTTGGACGAGTTTACTCGTATCTCCTCGAATAGTCTCCTCCCTGACCCGGTCAAAGACAACCCATCCAGATTAAGAAATTCACGAGTCGTTACCAAATTCTGAATTCAGGACTCGTCCATGTCTCCGGTGGCATTTCAAGAGCCTGTAAACTTTTTCTATCTGGACTGCTAAAATGCGCTTGTTGCTTAGGTTGGTAGTGGTCTCTCAGGCCAATTCTGTTCCCGATGAGTAAACATAATAGCAGACCAGTTTGTTTTGTCGTGTTCGTCATAACCACACATTCTTCGGTTCGCCTTATCAAATTGGTGATTGCTCTGTTTAATCACCACCGTTGATAATATATTTGATAATTGACCTGGCCTTTCAAATGACGTGAGGGTCCCTAAATGTTATTGTTGAATGGACGGTCGCGATCTAGTAGCAGGTGAGATGCGATAGACTGTGACCGTTGGTGGTGGTTGAAGTTGGAACAAAACCCTTTATCTCATGTCCTGGTTGGTAGTTGCCAGTGATGTTCTGTTCTTATTACACCAGAGGGCATGTGACAAGTGGGGATGGAAGTGTATATCCCAGTATAGGATATCCTAGTGTTCACTGGGATTTATATTCATTATGGTTCTTGGAGTTGTTTGGATACATGTTTATTTTCATATGGCATTTGTCAATGCCAACTCCAAGCATAACCCAAAATTTCGATAATTAGGCTCATTGACATAACGAACTTTGTTCAGCTAAACTCCAAATCCTAGAAGTCACTGGCATTCCTTGAACCGTTGAACCCACAAAGCAAGAAGAAGATAACACTTCCAGGATTTGTTGAATCAGAATAATCAATTGCTTTTGTTTTTTTGGAACATGAAATTTCCTTGTAAGATGGCATCTCTCACTTTTTTGGGTGGGTAAATGGAATCTTGCACTTTTTTGGTGGGTAAACAGAATCTCTCACTTTGTCCATGAAATTTTCTTGGTCCACATTATACCAGTTCAAAGGCTTAGATTGTATCGGGATAAATTTGCTCTTTCTTTTCGTTTAAAAAAGTGTGCATCATTGGTTATTTTATTTTTTAAAAAGTATGAAAATGCAACTTCAGTACCATGTTCTCAAATTGTTCTCTCTGGGGATTGTTCGATGTCAAATTGTTAAGCTTTTCACTGCTGGTGACATGATATATCGCCAGTTACCTTGTAATTGATAGCTTGATTGCGATGCAGAGAGAAGAGGGAAGCATCTTTATTGGTTGGCAAACTTGAATTTCAATGGCTTCGCCTTACTTTGATCCAGAGTATGAGAACTTAAGCATCAGATTAAACCCTCCAAGGTTCTCTTTGTACACTCAGAATTGTATTGGTTCCTTCATGTTACTGATCTGATTGAGTGAAATGATATTTTGTGTTCTGTCTTCTTATTCTCGTTCTCTCAACCTGCTTCAGGGTGTCTGTGGACAACACTAGCTGCAGGGACTGTACTCTAGTCAAGGTAATTTTGAACTTATTTGAAGGGATTTTTCTATGATGATGATGACCAAGCTGGGCTGTAATTAGGTCACTCTAAGTCTTGCAATGCCATGTGGGAAGAGAGTAGCTCAGAGCTGGTAATACGTAAAGTTTCTTACATTCTGTATATTATGAATATGTGAAGTTAATTCTCTCCAATAAGTAATATTCACAAGTCTCATTGAAATACTTTTTTTTCAGTAAAATGGGACAACTTTTTATACCCCAAACAGAAGGACACAAAGAGAAAAACCTCTCTGTTGTATCACTATCCACTGTTCCATCCCGTATGTGTCTTACTTCCCAAAATCTTGCATGGAAGAGAAAAATTTATTTTTTGCTACATAATTATTTACTAAAAGGGATGGTTGGACCTTGGAATTTTTTTGTGGCTTTTGGTGACCAATGCATGCGTCCTTTCCTCCTTCAAAAGGAAAAATTCTTTGGTAATAACATAAATTTTTTTTCTTAGCCCCATAATGTCATTCCCATGTCAAACCATCTGCTTATATCCATGAGTGTATAAAACCTACTCTAGATAGCGGAGATCTCCTCTAATATCTCCAATATACAGGGATTCAGAGATAGATAAGGGGGCTATATCTTTTTCGCATATTTCCCTGGAGATATTCCTATTTTGATGTACAGGTTGAAGATTTTTTTCCTCTACCGTATATAAATGCTGAATTTTGGAGATATCAATCAATTCTTCGATAAAATGAGAAGATTATCCAAGTTTCAATTAACTATTTTTGAGAGATTGAGACAACAAAAAACACAGAACCATACAATACATCTTTCCCAGTTTTGGGAGCAACCTGTCACTCTGTCTCTCTCTCCCCCTTAGCAGATAAATTCATTTTCACTTGTAACTCATCTTCAAGTGGATAGGGACAACTATCAAATACGGACACAGGCATGGGATAGAGTCCAACACGACACTGACATGTCAACACCATTTTTTTTTTTTTGAAAAAATGGTATGGTGTCACCATTGGGGAACTCTACAAATTTCTTAGTTTTACTTATCAAATTATATAATTGATCACTATAGTTATGTTTCACTATAGTTTTATACAACATAAAAACTAGCAGTTTATGATAAATAAAATCTTATATCCATTACCACTGTATGAATTTTTAAATTGATGGATCATCGTAGTCAATAATCATCGATTACTTTTATCGACCAAGTGTAACAAGCATATTTAATTATAATGATTTCTTTCATCTTCTCAAATCATCTTCTTTAGTAGAGCTGTATATCATTTACTTTATTAGTTAAAACTTTTATACTATTAGCCTTTACAATTATATAGTTTTCCATAGTATATGATAGTTATATGTGAAAATTCTAAACTCTTATAATTACATGTTGACACTTTTTTTGGTTATAGAATCAACCTAAAGAAGTGCAGGACAAATGTCCGACACACATAACTAAAGGAGTGTCAAACATGTGTTTGAAATTAAAGATTTTATTTTTGGTTATCGAAATGGATGAAGCACTATTGAACACATGTTCAAGAAGTGTCGGGGTCTCAAATGAGTCCAATACAGATACGTCACCTTCGTAAGAGTTTTAGTGCTTCTTAGAAGGAAAGCCATTTGGAACCTTATCGATATGAATAGGCAAATAGACCTGGGCAGCTGTACCCTTTCTTCCTTGAAAATCCGTTACTACACATACCATCAGTGGTTTTTTGCACCATTGGGATTGATATGGAACTCAAATGAGCAAAAATTCAACTCCAAGTGGATTACAGCATGAAAAATCGTTAAAGTCAAGATTTGTGATCAGAGTATGGTCGTGTCGTTGGCACTATTATGTATGAGCCATTTGGGGTTCTCAAGTGGGGGAGTCCAATATCGGTGATGAATCTCTTGAAAATCCATGTTGTAGGGTAGAAATGATTTGTAAAAGCAAGAGATTTATAAGCATTGTTTATGGCTACTAATGGCATTCTAGTGATTTGTACTCTGTACTCTCAAAAAAAAAAAAGTGATTTGTACTCTGAACAAATTGTTTGCTGTCCACTTTTTGCAATTTATCCATTGCATTATTAACATCAATGCATTGTTATTGTAATATTATGACTCCACTATGAGAATTATAGGTCATTTAATTGTTTTCTAAATTTTTTCAAAACAATTCCACGTTTTCTGCTGATTTCCGTAACTTTTTTGCATATGTTCAATATTTTATATTTCTATCATTATGTCTTTGTTTTATGATGACTGATATTAATAGTTAGTTGCTTTCTATCAACCTGTGTAGTAGTGCAAAATATTAACCAACAAGTCACTGGTTTGTAGATCCCACCTAATATATATTGTAGTCCATAGGAACAAAGATACATTCATTCCATGTATATATGTACATATATAGTTTATTATGTCTACAATCAGCCTGTGAAGAATCTGTGTTGTCCCATTAAGAACATTCTTTTCCATTGTGTCAGACAGCATGATTTTCCTGGGATCCTAACAAGCTTTATGTGATGAACTTTTTAGCAAATTTGACCAAAATCCCATCCTATGGAGGCAAAGTTGCCTCATTTGGTTTTGCATCTAGTTTTGGCAGCAAACAGAGCATAAAAATTTGAAGATAAAAACACTGTTCAAGCCCAAAAGTGACTTGAACATACTATGAGCACCTAAAGACCTTACAGCAAACAGCTTGGATCTTCACTGCATGGTTCATTGAAAAAAAAAAGCTTCCCTTTCTACCTTTTTCTCTACTATTCTTGCTGGAATGACCAGATGAAGGTTGTGAATGCAATGATAAGGTTGACAGCTTGAACAAACCAGGAATACTGCTAGAAGTGGTGCAAATCTTGTCGGACCTTGATCTCATCATCACCAAAGCTTACATCTCCTCTGATGGTGGATGGTTCATGGATGGTATGTACATACTTCAGTGATATTTTCTTGTTGTTAGAGGAATGCTAATTATGTTGTCTAGTAGCTCTCTGTTTTTAATGTTCTGTTTTCTCACCTGGTTCAAATAAACTATTGTGGTTACAGACGTCTATGTTAAAAGAAAACAAAGGTCTATGTAAATCAAACTCTGGAACACCCTTGCTTGAGTAGCTTTTAAGTGACAATGTTGATTGCCAGGGTTTTTTCTCAAAACAGTGTTGGTTTTGTTGTGAACCTGAAAGTAAAACGGGTATGACAATCTAAACCACTTTTGGGAGATGCCCAAACAGGCCCCTAAATCTGTTGAAAAAATGAGAATTTTGTTCCCAAGTTTGACTCACAAGAGAATCTCGGTTTACCCATTACGAGGAGTTGCACACACCTAGAGTTGTTGTGGGAAAAAGATCCTACGGCAAGTCATTGGGACTACTCTCCACTATTTCAAAAAAGATGTTTTGTATATGTGAAGATATGTTATTACATTTGGCTCTGCAATTTTGATAATGGAATCCATATGTGGTGGCCCATTTGGCAAGAGTGGCAAATTAATGGGGAGCTGATAGAGAGGTGCCCTTTGGTAGCCTCCGTCTCTCCATATCTGATGTGCACATACACACACACTCTCTCTCACAAGTCACAAACACATCCACATCAACACACGTACATTTCTACACACATCTAACAAATTGGTGATCAATTTCGCTTGTTTCTGTACAGTGTTTCATGTCACTGACCATCAAGGGAACAAAATTACTGAAAGTAAGACCATTGATTACATAGAGAAGGTATGCTCTTAGATTCTCCTTATTCTATTCTGTGCTTTGCTTTTTTAAACCCAGAAAGACATGCAATCCAGTTGGTTTAAGCACGGCCCCAAAGCTACTATGGCCACACTGAAATCTTGAAAAACCACTTGAAATGCAAAGGGCATACATAGGTTAAACACTGAATTAGTCAATATGCTGTCTGTTTGATGGATGGATGACCTTGTGTGTCTGCTTTACAATGCATTTTACTTTGCCATGTTTTCCTGATGTGCACAGTCCATTTTGGTACCAGCTTACTTATTAGACTATGGGTTAACTGAGAAACATTTGACCAAGCAGCCAACTGACCGGTCCTGATTCATAGAAAAATCAGTAGATGAGAATTGGTGACTGTATATTTTAGTTTAGGCCCCATTTCACTCCTATACAAAAACATCCCAACACCGAGCAGTTGTGTTTTTATGATCAGTACAGTTGTGGTACTTGACACACATCAATATAGGCAAGGTCACCCTTGTGCTCCATTTTCATTTCTCTTGGTTCCTTATCACAGAACATGGCAGTCGGGAGCTCATCTCTCTAAAAGACAAGAAGGTGCATTTGATGATTGGGTTGGGTTCCTAATTAGTTTGATGTCCTCCCTTCCTATGGTGTTAGTCGGGGTGGTGAATGAACTGTAAAAATGGGAGCAACTTGGTGACATGTGGCCTATTAAAATTTTTAATGATATTAAAAGATCATTTCTCTAAATATTTCCTTTAATATGTGACAATAGGCACTAGGACCTAAAGGCCAAACTGCAGATGGGTTGAATACATGGCCAGGAAAGAGGGTAGGGGTGCACACCATTGGTGACCATTCAGCCATTGAGCTCATAGGGAGGGATCGACCAGGTCTCTTATCAGAGATATCTGCTGTCCTTGCTGATCTCCACTTTAATGTAGCTGCCGCTGAAGTTTGGACGCACAACAGGAGAATAGCATGTGTTCTTTACGTCAATGATGATACCACATGCCGTGCTGTGGATGACCCAGCTCGATTATCTGCTATGGAGGAGCAGCTCAAGAACATTCTTCGTGGGTGTGATGATGGTGAGAAAGTGGCTCATACTAGTTCCTCCATGGGTTTCACCCATGTTGACCGGCGACTCCACCAGATGTTGTTTGCTGATAGGGATTACGAAGGTGGTGGGTTGGCAACAGAGACAGATTCTCCTTGTACATTAAAATCAAAAATCACAGTTGAACATTGTGTGGACAAGGGGTACTCGGTAGTTAATGTAAGGTGCAAAGATCGGCCGAAACTTATGTTTGATATTGTGTGCACACTCACTGACATGCAATATGTTGTGTTTCATGCCACCATCTCATCTGATCGCCCCTATGCATCACAGGTATGTGTACAATAATTTCCTGATGAATAGCCTAACATGCAAAAATCTCTATTAAACCAAATAAATTGTGACTTTCCAATGTCCTTTGAACTGCATGCCTTGATAATATTGGGAAAGTAGCATTTTCATGAATCAGTAGTCTCCGGTCACTACAAATGTTTAAAGGCGTGTCGCTTATTCAATTGGTATGCCCCACCTGAGATAAGAATTACCTAACCTCCTCCTTGATAAGTTTCTGTTCTAGATTGCATTGATTATTAACTGCTTATCTGAAAACCACTTGATGAAATTCTGTTGTCCCCTGGATGCATTTAGCTATACTATATTGAGGTTATTTAAATAATCAATTTATGTGCTCAGACCGCATTCAGCTGTGAAGAAGTGGAACCATTAAGAACACCTAGTAGCACCTCTTTTGTGTTTCCCAGCATTTGATATGATTATATTTCTGCTAGATACATGAAATTTGCAAAAGATCACACGTTTTCAGTTTGAATCACCACTCAATTTGTTGACTTAATTGTTTGAAATGGCTCCATCTTTTCAGTATTTACTCAAAACTCAAAGATGGATACTTCCTCAAATGATATGGAAGAGAATGCAATGATCTCTTTTTGAAAGGAAGTTCTCAAGAGGCTTTGCAATTATGATTTATGCAAGTAAATAAGTGAATTGGATTTGTAGGAGTATTATATCCGTCACATGGATGGCTGCACTCTGGATACTGGAGAAAAAGAAAGGGTCATCAAGTGTCTTAAAGCTGCAATTCAACGAAGAGTAAGTGAGGTGAGGGAGATAGATATAGTTTGGTATGACAAATTATTTGAGAACATTTGAATTATGATAGCACTAAAGCATTTTGCATATTCAGTATCCGTAGTCTGCTTAGTATTTTATCACCTCATCCAGGTTGAGATACTAGTTAAACCAAAAAGATTTCGGAGCGGCAATTATATTGAAACTGTTAGTGTACACTGTGTTGTCAGAAGTGCATGGTTTCCACTTAAACTGGTGGCCAAAAAAATCTAGCATCGATTTAGGATTTAAGTTTTTCCTTGGCCTTCTCCTTCGATGATTTACAAGAAGAAACAGAACATACGAGGAGAACTTTGACCTTTGAAGGACCAGATACAATTGATGGATTCAATAATGTTATGCAGGGTCTAAGCCTAGAACTCTCTGCGAAGGATCGAGTAGGTTTGCTATCTGAAGTAACAAGAGTCCTTCGAGAAAATGGGCTAGCTGTTACAAGAGCGGGGGTCACAACAGTTGGGGAGCAAGCAATGAATGTTTTCTATGTGCGAGACGCTTCTGGAAATCCGGTGAACATGAAGACCATTGAAGGACTTGGCAAAGAGATTGGGCACACAATGATGCTTAATGTGAAGAAAGCCCCCACAAGTGCAAAGGCACCTGAAGCTAGTGGATGGGCCAAGACAAGATTCTCCTTTGGTAGTCTACTGGAAAGGTTTTTGGCTTGAAATTGTCTATTTCACTGTGAGTCATGTATAGAATAACAAAGGAGTTGGATAAAACCTGGACCACGGAATGTGGAAGTTCCAGAAATTTGGGTTTTGCTACTCTTTTTCCCTCTCTCTCGGAATATGTGATGGTTGAGTACAATGGTCATTTTGGAAATTTGAAGAAATGAATATTCCATTTTTTTCGGTGAAAGAAAAGTAAATATGACTCTTGAATAGGTATATTGTAAGCACCTCATTGAAAGTTACATTATAATCAAACTAATTACGGTTTAAACAAATCAAGTTACAACTCAATAAGATTTTGTTAAGATTGACACACAAACTTCGGATATGTCACAACTTCTTAGTATCGGTTTTTTTTATAATTAAGTCGTGAGTTATCTCATTTTTTTTGTATAATAATGAATAGCGTAAGTTTTCTCTTACAAACACAAACACAAACACAAACAAAACATAATTATATTTCACCTTTGGATTGTCATTTTAGTCCCGAACAAGAAACCATTTCTGAACTGTTGCTATTTGCTAAACTTATGGTAATGCTCCGATAATCTAGTTGAAGTTGAGTAGGTCAGAACCTAGAGGCTTGTTTGGCTGAGAGATGACCTGCTTTTCTTTCCTTTGAGTTCTACTCTACCTAGCTATTATGTTTTATTTTTATATCCCAAATGCGCGTATTGCAAGTTGATTGGGAAGAAATTTTTCCTTTTCCTTCCCTTCTCCCACCGTATGAAACTCCTTTGCGATTAAGGACATATTTGTTTTGAGTATAAGGCTGATACAAACAGGCCGGATAGGAAAAATAGTCCCGCTTTGTTTGTTTTTTTTTTTCAAGTACGGGCAAATTGTTTGACTTTATTATCGGCTCGAATGTGTTTGTTTGCTGGATAGCATTTCTTGATATTGACAAATACTATTGTCCGTAAAAGAAAATTAACACCAATATTAAATACAAATTTAATACCACTTACTGTTTGTTTCAGTATCAATAGATTAAGTGGAACTTACCGCAAAAGAAAATATCTCATGACTTTTTTTTTCACGCAAAAGGACACTTTTAACCTTAGATATTATATGGGAGATGTGTACAAAGGGGAATTATGGACATTTTATAGCTTATATCGTACCATCGGTCCAAATTCATACAACTTTATTGTGGGGTCCATGTCTGATTGAATGTCAACAAACTTAACATAAGATGAGATTATGTCAATTATACAACATTATCTTACACGTTAGTTACGGAATAGGTCGAAATGGATTCTCCCATCTCATCCAGTCATTTCTTTAAATATATATTCCCTAAAATGTTTGTAGTTCATAATTGACAACGACGGACGGAGTGATCCACGAATTTTCATCTTATTCTCTTCGATTTTGATATTATGAAAAATTACCGATGAAATCCACATCTCACCACCATACGATTTTGATATTATGAGAATACCTATTTTGGCCATAGCCATTTGGTTGCTTTAAAAACCAATATTTGGAGATTAGCAGACACTTAAAGGCAACTCTGTGAAATTGAAGCCATCTGCCCAAGAGCTTGCGTCCAAACCAAGGCACATAAGTGGAGTACTCCAAACAACAAAGCATTATTAAGAAGCTTATATATGTAATGTGTGTATATTTTGAAAGAACAATGTTATTAGAATATAATTTAAAGATATAATAATTGTGGTCATTAGAGTACTAGTGGGTCCCAACATTAAATGAATTTTACTATCAATCCAATGATTAAAATGTATTATGTCCCTAATTTTTTTTTTGTTTCAACGGTTAGAGGTATCTGAGTCAACTTATGTGCATCTCGACTAATTCCCTCTCCGGTCCGGTCTAGTCAACAGCAGGTCATTCACACCCGGACTAGAAAATTCATGAGGGATTTCTTATGACTAAGATTTGAATTTAGGACGTCTGGATTTATAGTTCGTCTATATTACCACTTAAACTACATTCAAATTATGTCTCAATAGTATTAGTGATTTTGAAAGTGTAATATGAAATCTAGGTTTTGGCAAATTTAAATAGTCGAAAGATCCTTGAATAATCTTATTTGGTAAACATATAGTCCAAACCAAAAGCACATTAGTGGAGTATTCCATTCAACAAAGCATTAGCAGTAAGGTTACGTAATGTGTGCATATTTTGAAAATCTAATATCAAATCTAGATTACGACAAGTTTAAATAGTCAAAAAAAAAATCTTAAAAATTTGCATTTGCAAACCATTTAGTCACTATATACGAAATGAAATTTCATTCGGTTAAATTAGAAAATTTTGAAATACAAATGTAAGAGGCAAAAAATTAGAGTACCTTCTATAGGATGAAGGGTTGTTGTTTCTTATAAAAGTGAGTTCTGAACTCGTTCTTCCAATCTTTCTTTCCTGCAAAACGAATAAACTGTTTAAGATTGAAGTGCTTCGATCAAAGGCACTTCAATGCTTAAGTCAGTAGTGGAATAAAGTCAATGGCAAGAAGACAAGAAGAGTTCAATGTATCTTTCACCTGGACTCCGTATGCCCTTTATAAAATTTTGTTCAGTTAGGATTTTCATGATTTTTGGTTCAAGGTGATACAACTTCCTTCAATTTGACTTATCTGTGTTAGGAAGTTACTGAGATCTCTCCAACAGTTTCTTTTACCGAGCCTAAGATCATGCTCATTCGTTTGACCAGAATGCTTGAATTTTAGGCATCTCTTTAACTCTATGTTTATTGTTTGAAACAGCTCGATCATGATGAGGATCAACCTCTTCTTTTTATTTTCGAGCTTTTTGAATAGTTCGGCTTCGATCTGATGACTGAGTCTAATGATGTTTTTATCAAGTTATTGACCTTGTCACCCTCACGTTCAATCATTTAATCTAATTACACATGTCATAAAGGGAGCCTCCCCTTCAACAAATATTTTTAAAATCTTCAAAACAAACCCTATTATTTTGGAAGTAAGTGAAGTCCATTTGGTCAATCCCTACCGCACATACTTTTGTACAAAGCATGCATTTTTCGAACAACTTTTAGCATTTGACAATCTCTTGCTCTAATATTTAGGAGTGATTTAGTGGTTAAACTTGACCTCTAGTAACCAAAAAATCTCAAGTTCAAAATTTTTTATACTCCTTAAGGGTTAGACACCCTTATTTCTCATGGGTCATGTTGTTCATTCGAATTACGGTGGTCAGTATCTGAGTTCAAAAAAATAGTCAGTATAAACTTAAAGAAAAAAAAACAAAAACAAAAGGCTCGCTCTTTAATTTTTTTTCATTCAACTACGCAAAAATATTCAATGCCTAAAATAGTGAATATAATAGTTAAATAATTACAAAAGGTGGGATTCAATGCAAAACTTTTGTTTATAGTTGAGAAAAAAATAGTCACATAAATAGTCTTATCTTCATTTTAGCAATTTTAATTTCCAAATTAGAACTAGTTGTATGTCATTCAAATCGATGAGTAGATGTCAATCATTTGGATCGAGTCATAATTATATTGTCAATGGCATTAAATCATTGGAAAAACTAAGTGAAAAATTTTCACTTAGTTGTCGACATTCTATAATTGATTTCTCGACCCTACAAAACTTTGTTTCCTGTAGTTAGTTAGTTGTAATACCTTTCGTCATTTGTTTACTTTCTCACGCACTTGCTTGTGAAGAAAAATAAAAATAAGATGGTATCTGTTATCACCACAATGTACAAGGGGAAAATTCCAAACATTAAGTGGAAGTGGTGGGACAAAAAACATGCATTATATGTACGCTAACATCTAATACATGTAGCAATTGTCAACCATATGAATTTAAAATTGATATAAATTCAAATTTTTTTATTATTAATAGTGCGCTATCTATACGAGCCAAAATAGAAAATCAACATCACTAGCATATATAATGTGCAGGGAATTTTTTTTGATAAAGTAGAGTTTTGTCTCTAACAGCATAGTTACTAATGAATTCAGGGGGAGGGGGCCACGATCTCGCTCCCCTCCCTCAGGTGAGGCATATTTTGAAACATTCCGATTATCGTATTAGTATCAATTATATATATCCATACTATATGTTAGGCCCATTCCTTTCTCATTAGATTTTTTCAAACATTTCTAAATTTTTTTGGAAACTTAAAAGAGGCCATCCTTATATACTTTCGCAACCATATATATATATATGGGTGCCATAGCTACACAGACATAGAGAGCAACTTTATTTTCCATTTTTCTCTTATTTTCTTGATATAGAAAGCACCTAAGTATGAGTATTCTATGCAACTTTTAGGCTCCATCACAAATTATCTTAAGAAGTTTTTAATTTGAAAGTAAAAAGTTTTAACTTGTGCCTTAAATATTGTAACATAAATCAAGTAGTTATAATTTTTTTTTATTGTAAACAAACACAGATATTTATGTCTTAATTTAAAATTATAAAATTAAACGATGCGATCATATTAAAATTTTCTTTTAGTACTATAATTTTTTTCCGAATGTATGCTATGGAGAAACAATCAATGTAAGAATCGTAATGAAGTGCCTACCTATGTCTAGCTAGGCAAATAAACAAGATAGGATGATCTAACTAAACAAAGCTATATATATATATATATTTTTTTTTTTTCTTTTTTAGACGAGAAACAAAGCTATTGAGAGCATTAATCTTTGAACCCAACAGTCATGGACTTGGCTTGTCAATACAAACTCAAAATAAAATATAGGGAGATAAAAATAGACACAAGACTAGACTGATTAAAAAATAAAATAAAAAATAAACACTTAATGATATGACGTTATTATGAAAATTGTTTTTAATCATAGTTTTTCTCAATCAAAATTCAAATAATTTACTCACAATGTTAGTTCTATATTAATTCGTGTTTGCTTTTAATTTATTATTTTTATGAGTGTAAGGTTACCTATTGATTAGATAAGCATTAGGTGCTGTTATGGAAATAAAAATTATTTCAAGGACAAACAATCCATAATTAATATAAGAATAGTTTTTATTTATGAATAATGTTATTTGGATTTAAAAATTTAACTTCATTTGCTGACATAATAATGTGATTTTATAAGAATCATTAGATTTACACTAAGTTTCAATATTTGATGAGACCTACAATCAATCCAAAAGTCACAATAAATAAGTTCGATAAATTATATCGGTAAATTATGTCCTAACAACATTGCTCTTTATTTATTATTACTGTCCCCTCAAAAGCATGTTTCACGAGTTGCGCCAAGTGTCACTTTTTCATCGTGTGAAATTTTCATTCTTCCTAAACATCTATAAAATAAAAAAAGGAAGAAGGTTAATGTTAAAGATAAATCTTAATGGTGGTTTAGTGTTTGAGTATAGTCTATGATAATTCAGAAGTCTTAAGTTTAATCCCTTCTTACACTCTAGAAGGTCTTGTTTGATATGAAAAAAAAGTGGATGGATGAAAAAGAAATGATGAAAAATGAACAAGAATGAAAGAGTATCCTATTTATCCAAAAAAAAAGGGTGTCCTTGTTTGGTTTTAAAGAAAAATTAAATGGAATGGAAAAGTGGGCGAAAAGTGATTTCATTCGGCCTGCCATTTATTTTCCATCCAAAAGCGGGCGGAAAGTGGGAAAGAAAAGAAGTGCTGCTCACTTTAATGAGGCTAATTAAATTACTTTTATGCCCTTCACAAGGTGCTTTTTTTACACGGACAAGATTTTTCTAGAAACATGTCACAAAGTCAATTTTTTTGTAACTGATAGTTTTTAGTTTACGCTTCATATTTTACACTTTCTTTGACTCTCTATAAAGTGTAATTTTATAATTTATAATAAAAAATATATAATTTATATTCAAGGGTATAATATTAGATTGAGTTTATATGTTTTTTCATTCCTTTCTTTTAATTTCTTATACTAGGCAATAGAAAATTTATCCCTCAATTTTTTTATTCATCATACTAAAAAATTAATACAATACAAACTCAATATAATATGATCAAACTAAATGATTAAGACCCAATTAATTTAAAAAATTGTGTAACATGTTTTGATGTTAAATCAACCAAAATTACATATCGAGTTCAAATCATGTTATCACACCATGCCGATAATCATTACTCTTATATGTTAGACAATTTTTTATTATATCCCTCACTAATCAATTTCGATAAATTTCTGATAACACACAAACATTATATTTTAAGCTATTTATTTAGTTGATTCCACAAGAAAGTGGATGAATATATTTATTTCTTTATTTATTGGAGGGATTTTTAACATTTTCAAATCTTGAAAAGTCTACTTGCAATGGAAAAAAATAATTTTTATTAGTGAGAGTATAATGATAAATTAAATTTGCATATGTTTTCTTTCTTTTATTTTTCCTTGGTTACCAAATAATAAAAAATTAATTCAACCAACTTTTCATTTATTGTACCAAACGTAAATGAGAGAAAATGATTTAAAGATGAAAAGTCTATCCCTCAAACTTTTCTATTATTTTTATTTTTTATCCCTCCTACAAAACATACCATAAATACTAGTTATCCTTGTCCCTTTTAAGAACATACTCTAATCCAACTTAAATCACGGTGATCAACCGCAGAACTTGAAAGAATAGTCAGCGCAAGTTTAAACACTTTATAATAAAAAAAATATGGTAAGAGATAATCCAATTTAATATATTTTAGCCAGAAGAAACAAAAAAAAAAAGCATTCGCTGTGGTTGGAAATAACAATGTTATTGGGACTTAATTAAAAAATCTAAAACATTTGATAATTAAATTAATTGTGGGTCCTAGCATTAAAGGATGTCCTAACAATAAATAAAGTCCACCATAAATTTGATGATCCTCAATTTAATGTTTCATAATTACGTACAAGCAATAATATTATTGGCATAAAAAACCTTGGTTAAAACTTAAAACACAATTGCTAATAAAAAATACTACATTCACCATTTACTTGTTGATTTCACACATATTAATATGAAATAAATGTTAAGACAACTAAATTATCATAGCAATACTTAACAATAAGAGATACTTTATTAATCAAATAGAAAGTGAGTCGTAAATAATTCACATTGATTTTGAGTCCCTTGACGGTATAAAACACGATCAATTGATGTAAGTATTTATAATTTTTAATATCAAATTATAATTAATTAAAATTATTCATGACCGATAATAAAATTTTATGATGGTCTTATACAAACATAATTTAATTTTCTTAAAAAATAATAATTTTTAATACTATATTTAATTTTTTTTTAATATGTGAGGCAAGTATGGTTGAATTACCCTAAAAAGTACATAATCAAAGATAAGAATGATCGTTGTAGTGGTGAGCTTGAAACTAAAGGCGATTCGGTGTTGTCCTAGTCCTAGTCCTAATTGAAAAACCCACTTTTGAAGCGGCTTCAGTTTTCGACAAAAATTGGAACTTTCTGGACCGTCCATTTTACTTTCGTTTCACATCTTTTTTTGGCCTTTTTTCGACTGAATTCATGCGTCTTCTTCTTTTCCTCGTCACCGATCATATCACGTCAAATCAATCAAATTATATCACACGCCCGAGTGTGGCCCCTATTTTATTGATCACACTTCGAGTCTAGAAAATATGTATATAATTATAGTATAATTATTCAATTAAAAAATAAAATATAAAATATAACTATTTTTTTCAACCAAAGTTATCATGTATGATGATAGCATTGAATGGTTATGAATTTTATTATAATTTATTTATTAATAAATTATTATATTACATGATACTATTAACATAATATAATTATTACGCCTAATATCTTTCCTTTCACATCAAAACGTGGCATCATTACTCCTCGTCAATTCCTTCTCCGTACGTCTCTCTCTCTGTCTTTTTCTTTCTCGGCCTGTCTGTATTCAAAATATCAGAAACTGCTGAAGCTCCTCCAGGCCAAGTCAATTGGACCCATCCAAGGTATACACACAACCCCAAACCTCTCTCACTCTCTCTAAACATGTATATCTATAAGTAGATGTTGACCATTGGTCAGCAGGACTTATAGCATAGTTAGAGGCATGATCATTCATTTCCTCTGCGAAAGAAAAAACATCTCTTCATATTAATACTTTTTTTTTTCTCGAGAAAAAAAAACTGAATTTGCCTGACAGAGTCAATCTGATTGGTTTCGCGGCAGCGGTTTCCACCGTAAGTGTGTATTTTAATTGGGGAGTTCAATTTTCTAGGTCTTTTATGGTGTCACTGTTAGTTACTCATGTCTGAAAACTCTGCTATGTTGTTGACAGGTGAAAAATTTTGCTTGTAATTTCAAAACACTTTTTGGAAACCTTATCTCTTTCGCTGGCGACAGAGTCAGGAAAGCTTAACTGGGTAGTTTTTATAGTGGAGGGGAAGGGTGTGAAATGATAGGGCTTGAGGGTTTGAAGAGTGAGGAGTTAGACAAGTGCTTTGAGAGGCTGATGGTGTTTGGCGGTGGTGGAATTGGTGGTGGGAAGATGGGTGGTGGTCGGGGGGTGATCACTGAGTGGAAGGACATACCCATGGAGCTTTTGTTGAGGATTGTTTCACTGGTTGATGATCGGACGGTGATCGTGGCTTCTGGGGTTTGTAGTGGATGGAGGGATGCTATTTGCTGGGGACTCACCCATCTTTCCTTCTCTTGGTAGCAATTCTTCTCTTCCCTCATGCGTGTGTGTGTAAAATATGTCCTGTATATATGTTTTTGAATGGGAATTTGGTTTGGTTACATATGCGGCTCAGATGTTCCTTATATAGTTTGTTTTTTGAACAGTATGTGTTGGTTTAGTGCTTGGTATATAGTTTGATTTGATTTTTGAGCAATGGAATTTAGAAGCATTGCATTGGTATTGGATGATTGCTGAACTGTGCTTTGTCTTGTCTCTTGTGCTTTATTTGTTGGTCTTGATCAAGCATTTGTTGTTTTTGTGTAATCTTTAGTTAATTTTTCATATTCAACATACTTTTAGGTGCCACTTAGGCGAAGAGAGTTGTCCTTTTTGTTGCAGGTCTTAGTTAGGCATCAATAGTTTCTGTCTGGATGGTGAGTATAACTAACCATCTCATGTATAATCATGAGGTGGATGCTTCTAATTTTGTGTTTCAATCCTTTCTTTTATTATCAAATTCCTTTGGTTAAACTAATCGTTTGGATTAATGAGAATCAAAATGGTCTTTTGGGACGTTCTGGAAAAAGAAATGATCTTTAGGGTACAATATTAAGATCTTATTCGTATATGAGAGTGGTAGAGGATCCAACCCAAAACCGTGGCAATGGGTGAAGTGGCCCTTGTAGCATATATACCAAGCTTGGGTGGTACTTTAACAGCTAATTTATTGTGAGAATTTTGAGTATACCAGAGCAGGTAATGAGCCTATACAAAATAAAAGAACAGTAGCTTTAGAAAAAATAGTGATTTCTTCTTGCTGTGAACAAGATGGGTTATAATTTCTATGTTGAAGTGCTGTTAATTCTTACCTTCTAATCATGTTTTATTTCTTTGTTTTTGTTGGAGGCTTGAAGACACACGATGACTGCATACCTTTAGGATGTGGACGGGCCATTGGTTTTTTTTGTCGCTAGTCCAAGTATTAAAATTACTAATGAGTTGAGTCCATAAGTTTAACTAGATTAGTAAATTATGGAAAGGTAACAGCTACCCTATTATTTGTACAGAATTACATTCCCCTGTCAATATTTTTCCATATTCTTCATTAACTTGCTTCCATGAATAGATTTTAAGCTCTGGATAGTTTGACATGTACATTGCTGATTGCGTATGATATTAGACATGACCAATAGGCTCGTTCTGGGAATTATGGGCTCCAGCAAGCACCCCTTTTGGAAGCTTCATTTGTAGGACTGGGGAGAACACTCGCACATGTGCAGGCGTTTTGAGAGAGCGTAAAACTCTAACTTGAGTAAGTGTCAGGCAAAAGGGTTAGTCTGAAGTGGTGGTTTAGCCAAAGGGAGAACGTGCAACGGTTGGATTCAGCACGCTCTTAGAATAGCTGATCCAATACGAATGCCTATGCCAACATGGAGAGCTTATCCACTACATCTACATAAGGAATAGTCTAATCCAATATTTCTTGTCTTTCAGCGACAATGGTGCCAGATCCCGGAACTTCAAATACAAAGCAAGAATCTTTTCCTACTTGTCCTTTAGGTTTAAGCTGTTTCAGTTCTTTGTGGTTTGTTTAATTGTCTTTAAGAATATCTAATATACTCCTGGTGTTTGGCCTTGTGCTTGTCCCTTCCTGTGCGAATCTACTCCGGTGTCAATGTGTGGCACTAACTGGCATATATATATTTTTTCAGGTGCAAGGAAAATATGAACAACTTGGTCCTGTCTCTTGCTCCAAAATTCACAAAACTGGAGGTTTTAATTCTGCGACATGATAGATCACAACTTCTGGATAACGCTGTTGAGACTATTGCAAATTGCTGCCATGACCTGCTAGACCTGGACCTCAGCAAGAGCTTCAAGCTCACTGACCAGTCCCTATATGCCTTAGCTCGTGGTTGTCCAAATCTTATGAAGCTGAATATCAGTGGGTGCTCAGCCTTCAGTGATATTGCTGTCGCCTATCTGTCTGGTTTTTGCAGAAAACTAAAATCCTTGAATCTCTGTGGATGTGTGAAAGCTGCATCTGACAAAGCATTGAAGGTACCAAAGGGTTAGGACTTTCTTATTCTTCATTTGTATTTCATGATGAAGTTTTATTTCCGACTTCTCAAAACTGTATGCAGGCTATCGGTTATAACTGCAATCAATTGCAGTCTTTGAATCTAGGATGGTGTGAGAATGTTGGTGATGTAGGGGTGATGAGTTTAGCATATGGATGCCCTGATCTAAGAGCCCTGGACTTATGCGGTTGTGTTCTTATAACAGGTGCCCCTTCTATGTTTGCATGGTAAATTGGTTCCGTAGAATATGTATTCTCTTGTTTAAGTTGTGTTACTACTGAACTTGATAGTCTGTTTCTGTTTTGCTGCTCAAATATCAGTACAATTCAAACTCCATCTTAGACGTATGTAGTCCGACAATTTTTTTTTGGGTGGTTCTTTTCCCAACAACATCCATATATAGATCATCTTGTCAAGTAATAAACATTTCTGGGGCGAGTTTACATGAATTTTTTTTGAAATATCCGTAAGAAGCTTCCTGACTTGATGAGAGTATCCATAATTATTTCATGATACTACTACAGCTGTATGGTTCTTCAACAGTTTCTGTGGATGTAGCTTTGGATTTTAATGGGGTGATAATAGATACTTTCTAGAAAGTTCTGGAACTAGAACAAATGCTGTTTATCTGAACGTGTACAGACTAATCAATTTAACCATGCGAAGTCAGTCCTCGTTTTGCGAACATCTTCATATCTTGTGCATAAGATCAAAATTATTGTGTATTACAAGAACTGAAACATCATTTTTTCTCCATGTCAATGCAATAACATTAGAGGATGCTTGTAACTGTTAGTAGTTAATACATAGATAGATTGTTTAACAGCTCACTAACACTACTTGAACATGTGAATTCAGTGCATATGTATATGATCTTTATGATCCATTGAGCATAACAAAATAATTGAATCCTGACATAATCGAGCTGATACTGAAAATAGCTGATTTGGTGCAAGGTTTTGAATTTCTTTGTCAAATTTGTCTGGTTGTAAGACTTGGTTGTTCTGCTTCTGCCGGCCACTGTTTGATATGGCTTTGACGATGAACCTATATATAATTCAACCTTAGTTCCACACATCACTCTTGCTCCTTCGAATGCCAACTGTACTTGAATTTCATTTTGTTTTGTTGAGTGGCTTTTGGTTTATGACTCAAATCTTTTTTCGCAGATGAGAGTGTAATTGCTTTGGCAAACAATTGCCTTCATCTCAGATCCCTTGGTCTCTACTACTGCCAGAATATCACGGACAGAGCAATGTATTCTTTGGCTCACAGTCGAGTGAAGAACAAGCATGAAGTGTGGGAGTCCGTGAAAAGCAGGTACGAGGAGGAAGGGCTTATTAATCTGAACATTAGCCAGTGCACAGCCCTTACTCCTCCGGCTGTTCAGGCCTTGTGTGACTGTTTTCCTGCACTCCACACCTGCCCAGGACGACATTCCCTCATCATAAGTGGCTGTTTGAGATTAACATCTGTGCACTGTGCCTGTGCTGTTCAAGCACATCGTGCAGCCAACGCACTTCCTAATGCAGCTCATTAAACAAAGTGCCAAATAGACACCTCATGCAAAAACAAGCTCGTGTACATAAGGTTGTGTTGGAGACTCATTTTAATTTAGCTGAATGTAGCAGCCTTGCTTTGTTGTGACTCTCATATTCTGAAAGTTGGATGTGTTACTGAAGGATCTCATTTCATTCCTGTACATTCTGAACGGCATTATGGATGTGTTTACTGCTTATATTTGTGTCAAGGAAATGGGTTATATCGCTTCTGGCAGTTTTTCAGGCTAATTCCTTTGGTATGCTCTGTCTAGGACATATGTATGCCAAGTTGGGAGAAGTCGGTCTTTATCAACAGGGACTAAATTGGTTTCTTAGCTTGCCCCTTGTGCCTTTGGAGTTGGAAGTTGACAGCTCCAATAGTTGGGGACAAGAGTCTTTTGTGTTTTCAGTAAGAGGAAGAGGGTAAGGTATCCGCTCTTCCCTGCACTGGAGTACATGAGTATGCTGGTAGTTCTTTTCCTGCGCATTACTGCCTCTTACAATTTGGGTTATTGGTTGAAGTTTTGAGTCTTTTGACAGGGAAAACAGCACTTTTAAGGTGAATACTACGGTTCAGAGAGAAGCCCCGAGATTTGTGAATTCGAAGTTTCAGCTGTAGCCTGTAGGAGTGGGTTGTTTCCTGATTTGCAGATGTTAGCTTTTGTTTTCAGCTGTAGCCTGTAGGAGTGGGTTGTTTACTGATTTGCAGATGTTAGCTTTTGTTTTTTTTTTCTCTATGTTTTGCTACGGGTACTGTCTATAGTTCACATTAGAGGCGGTTTATTTCAATAGTTTGAGCAATTTTTGTAAAGCCATGTTGATCTGGCCATGGAGGAAATCAGCAATACTAGGACTACAAACTGAGTTGCTTAAGTTCGGCTCGGACTGACAGACTGGCCCATTAGTTTGTTATACTGGACCAGGTTGATGATATAACCGATTGTCTACCCAAAAAGTGGGTCTGACCCTTAGCCTTTTGGGCTATTTGCAGCAAACCATTTGACGAGGCTTTGCTGAGACTACAAAGTTGTGCGTCAGTCAGCTGATTTTAGGTTACAGTCAAATAAGAGCCCGTTCTTGGTTGGACGTGAAGAGAGGGTAGTGTAATGATAGCTTGGGCTCTTACGACTTTATGGAAGGTTCTCTAAAGCTTCTGGATGAATCTGTTGTGAACAAAGGTTACAAACTACGAAACGAAATAGAAAAATATAAATCATAAATTTATGTAAATTGGTTTGAAAGTTTATGTCAACAGGTGAAGCGTTGCAACAAAGTTTCAATATCAACAAAGAGAGGTTACACAGAATTTTCTAATCAAGATAATATAATTAAACATGGGTGTCCAAAACTAAGGGTTAAAATCTCCAAAATAAACTAAATAGTCTATAATCTATTTATAGATTTAAAATACTGTTTTTTTATAAAATAGAGTTTATACCGATGTTTTACTTAAAGTGAAATTCTAAGACAGCCATTTTTTCAAATCTCCAAGGAGAACAAAGTTCAAACTAATTTCATATTAGGAGTAGAATACAAGACACCCACAACAGATTCATATCCTCAAAGTAAATACATCATGCAGCCTAATCATTAATTACCAACATAGCATAAAAACATTACTCTGACCCATCTGAACAGCCTGGTCGAATGGCCTGTAACACATGATGGTTTCAAATTCTATTAATTAAAAAGCCCAGACAAGTTGATTCACGACTCAACAGTTCAAGTAGCAGGCATTTTGTTGTTTTATCTTATTTTAATACTCTCCTTGGACCTCAAGAACAAAGGAAGTGATGAAACAATAATGCTCTAAAATGAAACACAATGCCTTTTGCGACTTCTTCAATACTCACCTTTTTATTTCCCTAGTTTTTCTAGAATGGAGCAAAAAAAGTTTATATGATGCCTCTAGTTCCTCTTCATTCAATGAAATCAGCTGCTATAACAAATCCTTCAGTGTTGTTACTATTTACACACAGCTTGGTAACTACTTCACAGTAGTCCTGTAGACTGTAGACTGTAGTTGTAGCTTTCACCCATTTAGATGAGGTCAGAGCTTAACAATCAAACGTTCCAGCCAAAACAATTCTAGATGGAGAAATTTTATAGATACTTTTTTTCTTCTGTGATGATGTACATCTATGCTTATAGCTTCAAAAGTTCATATTTTGATCAGAGAACTATCATCACATCTTCCCAATGCAGGAAGATTAACCTGTACAGGAACATGAGAGGGGTATTCTTGAGGGTGTCCCTTGACAGTTTCTTCTCTAAGCAATGAAGTGTTTGATGTGGCAAAACTCTGTTGATGATGAAGTGCCAGGCAGTCCTTGATTGGACAATAAAAAGCCATTTCAGCTCGACCTCGGCATTCCTGTATTAACCTTGTCCTTGAGGATTGAGCTGAGGCAGCACTTCCAGGGCCAGAAACACACCCATGCCAACATCACAAGTCAACAACCACAAGGGATAACCTTTGATCAAGATTGTGGCTTTCAATTGCCACCTTGGTGCATTCCTCCTATCAAGAAGGATTTACTCTTCTGCAAGAAAGCGGCATTCCTATAGGTCAGCCGACCACCTCCACCTATCATAGGGTAGCACCTTGAAGATTGGGAGCCTAAATTACTAGAGCAATGATATTGAGACATAATTTGGGGACTTAATGATTGTAGTCATTGGATTGTCAGTAGGTTCCAGCATTGAACGCACTCTACTATCAATCCAATTGTCACAATGCATTAATTCCCTAAATTATGTCCTAATAGCATTAGTGAAATTGCCAACCTACCTCTATATAAGGTATATTTCACTTCCACCACAAACATATATAGGACATCCTATACCCAATCAGGTCTTATCCATGATTTCGAAACGGAATGGAACTGTAGGATTCAATTCATTAAGTCGATCAGCTGCCCATTTTCCTAACCTGGAACACCTGTGTTCTCGACAGGCATCAAACACTCTAGTCAACATTGGAGCAGTGAGCTCAAAGGGCATCTTCTTAACAAAATCCTTGAGCTCATCCATGAACCCATACCGACTATAAAGCTCAATCATGGACTCATAGTGCTCCAGCCGAGGTATTATACAGTATTGCTGGCTCATTAAGTTAAAATAATGCCTAGCCAACTCAACACGACCCTCACAAATACAAGCAAGCAAGATACCTTTAAAGGTGATATGGTCAGGCTTGACGACACCCTCCTTCTCCATCAACTCAAACAGTTCAAGTACCTTTTCACCCTTTTTATTGTGACAGCATCCCAACAGAATGGAGTTCCACAGAATCAGATCACGTGCAGTTGCCTCTTTAAAGACCTTGAGAGCATACTCAAGACAACGGCATTTGGAGTACATGTCAAGTAAAGCTCCTCTGACAACAATATCTATCTCATAACCATTTCTAATCATAAAGCCATGGATTTGTTTGCCTGCCTCAAGTGCAAAAATATTTGCACAAGCAGCCAAAAGAGTTCCAAATGTATACTTACTTGGTGTTGTCTCCCCTAGAATCTTCCAGACCAACAATATTGCTTCTTCACTCATCTGATGATGGGCATAGCTAGTCAGCAGAGAATTCCAAGAAACCTTGTCTCGTGAACCAATCAGGTCATAGAACAAATATCTAGCACTTCTCAAGGTCCCACATTTTCCATACATGTCTAGAAGGGCATTGCCAACAAGAAGATTGGAGTGAAAACCATGCCTATAGGCAAATCCATGTACTTGTTTCCCCAATTCAACATCTAAAAGGGCAGCGGACAGATTAAGGATCAATCCAAGAGTGACATGGTCAACATCTCTAGTCACTTTGCGCATCAGAAAAACAAAATCCAAAGCCTCTTCCCATTGACAAGAATGCTTGTACCCTGTCAACATTGCATTCCATGTGATCACGTTCCTCTCTGGCATTTCATTAAAGAGCTCCCTTGCCTCTCGAGTTCTCCCACTCATTGCATATGCCGAAACCATGGATGTCCAATTAATCAAATTTTTCGAACTAGGAAGGTCAAAAATGATGTGAGCACTCACCAATTCTCCACATTTTGCATACAAATCAATGAGAGAGCTTGAAACAATCTCGTCTTCTTCAACATTAATCTTAATAGCAACTCCATGAATTTGAACCCCTTCCTTAAGTGCATAAATACTTGTACAGGCAATAAGGGCATTTGACACCGTAAAACTCAATGGCCTTAGATTTGTCTTGATCATCTCAAAAAACATAAACACAGCAGTCTTTCCATCACCCATGTCAAAATACCTCCTGACAATCACATTCCAAGAAACGGCATTCGGGTTCTCGATTTCATCAAACATTCTCCTTGCATCACTCATGATCCTGCATTTCCCATATATATCCACAAGTGAACTCCCTAGAATCACATTCCCACAAAACCCATATTTCAAAACAAGCCCATGTATTTGCCTCGAAAAACAAAGAGCCAAAACATCACCACAAGACCCAAGAACACTAGCAAATGTAATCTCATTAGCGATTATTCCGCCATTGTTCATATTAAGAAACAAATTTAACGCTTTCTCAGGAAACCCATTTTGGGAATATGCGATAATCAGCGAATTCCAAGACCCGCCATCTTTGTGAGGCATTTCGTCAAACAACTCTCTAGCATCATCCAAACACCCACATTTTCCATAGGCCTCAATGGCCCTATTCAACAAAAAAACTGGTGGGTATGGATTGAATGTGAACAAATGAGACTCAAGCTTTCGGACCTCGACAATGGCTCGATTTGAAGCGCAAATTTTGAAGAGATGAGCGTAGAGAGAAAAATCGAAAGATTCTGGAAAGGCGAAGAGAATGGACACGGCTTTTCCGAGGCGGCCGGTGTTGAGGTGAGAGAGGATTGTTTTGGTTAATGTTTTGGCGTCTGTGGGGAGTGAGGTGGACTTGTGGGTGCTGCGGAGAAGATGACTGAGGAGAGAAGCGGCGTTCACGCCCATGTAAGGAACATGGGAGGCTTGAGAATTTGATTAGGTGACCGTTAATTTAGTTGAAGAGGGTAGACATGGTGTGTCGGACCCGGGGTGTCTATGCGCCCGGCCGGGCGAGGCCAGCTAATGTTTTTTTGGGTTGGATCCGAGTAGGGTAAGCCCAAGCTCTTATTCAGGTAAGGTATCGGACGGGTCGAACCTTGGGGTAGAAATAGGTAATCCGTAACCTAACCTACAAACCTATTTGGGGGAGCTTGTCGCGCGTGCCTACTCAGGAATTTTTTTTTAAATAATTTTATTTAAAAATAATAAATATTTTTATAACTTAATATTTTTATAAATTATATTTTTTAATCAAAAATAGAATCAAAATAAACAAAAAGTAAATAATTAATAATTTTATTTTTGAATAAGAGAGAAACTACATCACAATAGAATGAGCACATTTCAACTAAGTTTAATCACAATAGAATGAGCACATTTCAACTAAGTTTACACCTACCCACTTATCTATCATTTATATAGCTCTGCCTTTTAAAGCGTGTAAATTTAATACATATTATTTATACTATTTAAATTTCTAAAATTTCAAATTATGATATTTGGGGATTTATTTTAAAATTTTAAATTCAATGATCCAACAATATAACTTTTTTTTCGAAGAAAAGGTGAGCGGGTTTCGGATTAGATAATGGATTTGAGAACAAACTCAAGTCATTTTTTAAGAATATTAGACTCAACTTCAAATGGGCCAATTATCAAATTTCAAGCCATTTTTTGGGCCAAATAACGGAGCTATGGATAAACTGACCATAGACACCCTTATTTGGGACTATGCAGTATACATTACGCTTTGATGGGCTATGCAGTTTCGAGTCTCGCGCACAATGCCTAGCGTTTTTTGTCCTTGTGATCTACTAAGTTCCTATGGCAAATCAAAATATAAAGGTGTTATTTGGTTATTTATATTACTAATAATCTATATCTATATTTATACTATTAAAAAAAAGAAATTAAGTAAAAAAATTTTGATTAACTATTAAAAAGATTAAAATCAATTATATCTTTATATATTTAATTATCTAATATTAATTAAATATTCAAATGACATTTCAGATACTTCTACTTCTACACAAATTATTGTTTCTTATAGTATACATTTACTTATTTCATAAGTAGATTACTCTCTCTCTCTCAAATTTTTTTCACCAACCATTTAGTTTACAATACAACCACTGTCTAATTCTATTTTTGCTGCCACATAATTTCCTATTGATACACTTGTACATGATTATTTTTTTTTTTTTGAAGAGTACATGATTATTCAAATAATACTATATAAAAAGTCATTTTTTTACCTTCAAATGATTGGACTTTAAATCCTTCTTCTAGCACATAGTGTTAAAGCTTCTATTTTGTTTCATTTACTTTTTGACCTTTCTAGTTCTAACTTAATATTGATTAGTCGATTTAAAATTTTTTATTTCATACACATTCTCTTTTATTTTGTAACAACCGAAACGCAAAAGTCAAAACTCTTGTAGTTGTTAAGTTCCACAATTATGTGAATTATTTTCTTTATCTGTCTTTCCACCCACCAATTGATCTCACTTTTTTGTGCTTGTTTCTGTATTCTGTGTGTGAATGTGTATGTTTCATTTATTTTTTGATTCTAATTAAAGTTTGTTTATTTTGACAGTAAAGAAAACCAAACATCTAAGAGTGGTGGACAGTAGATAACATAATAAGACAAGAATCTGACATGAGATATGACCAAAATTTGTATAGTTTTGTTCAATCTCATTAATTTGTGTTAATTTTGACTAGATAAATATTAGAAGAATTGAGCAAGCTTAGTAAATTTGGTCAATGCAGATATAAGTGCTCAAGAATATATGATAAAGTATAAAACATAGAAAATAATCTATCAAAACACAAAAATATTGCTATCTATTAAGATGTGCAAATCCTCTATACTAAGACAACATGAGTTTTATATAATTATCTATTGTTTTGTCTAATCTAACATAACTATTAGACATGTTCATGCACTCACTCATAATTTTTAGAAAGTAAATTTTTTTGGTTTGTTTTTAGTCTCAATCTTGCTCACTAACTATCTCCTCAAAATGCAAAGATTGCAATAATGAAGTGGAAAAAAATTTAAAAAGACTGGGAAGACAAAATAATTTCGGCCACCTTATACTGCACTTAATTAAGGTAGTGAAAAAAATGAAAAAAATTTCTTTGCCAAAGGGTTGCTTGTAGAGTCATGACAACCTTGTAATTTTAATTAGAAATTCAATTTGTTCTTTAGATGATAGAAAATAAAGTAAATTGAAAGAAGACATTTAATTTTTTTCTTGAAAGTTTAGGTATCAAGCTAATCTTGATAAAAAATTAGAAGTCATTTCTCTTAGAATAAGAAAATAAAATTATAATTCGAAATAGTTAATGTGCAACGCACGTGTATACCAACTAGCAGTATTAAATGGTGGAATGTAGAATCAGATTAAAAATTTTAATTAAACTTTATACTATATTTGATTATCAAAAATATTTTGCATTATATATAATTTTATTTCAAATACATATATGAATAATATGACATATCCATACTATTGAGAAGAATAGAGAGTTTAAATGATATTATAATCTATTTGAAACGTATTAGGTTATAAATTTATTATTTTGTCAACCAAACAAACAAAAATATGAATAATTAGATTAGATTGATGATTTTTTTGTCAATATGTAATTGATACTCTAATATCCTACTCTTAATATAGGTTGTGTTTGGTTTAAGCATTAGGAATTATCAGATTGGATAAACTCATCCATCCCATAGCCATCACCCGGTAGAAAAAAAATGCAAATCAAAAATACATTTCCCTTATCCTCTATTTGGTTCAAGTATTAAAAAGTTGTGAGTCCACCACCTTTATTCCGTGTAACACTTTGTTTGGATGAAATATTGAATGATAGTATAACTATTTACCAAGAACCCTAACTTAGTCAATCCATACCCATGTTTGGTATTTATATCTGGATTTGTCATGGGTAAAAATATATTTTAGTCAAATATTCCCAAACTATAGTATTTTAACCCACCAAATAGGTTTTTATGGTATTAAATATATTGTTCATCCGAGCCTCTCATTATTTATAGTGATAATATCGGATCAAAAATATGTAACTAAGTATGAGTATAAATGAGATCAGATGGGCCCATATATTATTTAATTCAATCCCTCTTTTTTAATACCTAAATCAAACACACTGTTTTATCAAATATTGGATTACAAATGGGGTGGTATTTTTGTCCTATAGTAAATCTTGTATTTTATCCACTTATATGAGATTAGTCTGTATTATCTAATATAATTCATTCTTTTACAATACGATAACTAAACGAATCCAATGAAATTTTACACAACTGAGGAGGACAAAATCATATCTCCTACCACTATGGAATTTTATTTTTATCCTATTGGACATAAATTAATGATTGGGGTAATGTGAAATTCAAACAATAATTTAAGGTGATGAAGATGAATAGTTTAAAGGATAATATGAATGGATCAACACATTTCAGAGGATTTAAATATAATTTACACTTTGTAAATTTTTATAAAAAGTTATAAATTTACTCTTGATAGAATTATATTTGTCAAGGTAGTTATTTACATATTGTATCTCTTATGTTGCAACGCTTCTAAAGACTTCGTAATTTATATGATGTACTAAAAGAATTAATTTAACAGAGAGAGCGTTTGAGAAGTTTTCCTTCTTTAAATCCTATTTTCTCCTAATTTTAAATTATTTAGTTGCCCTCCTCCAATTGAATTCCAACATGTGACTTGTGTATATACTTCCAATTTTTTTTTTATCTATTTCAAATTTAATTTCTCCTTATTCTTATTAACTACTTTAAACTTATATTTTTGTAAAATACAAGTTTAGCATATTAATAAATAATTTTCTAATAATGTTAGGATGGGGTGGGGGTTTGGGTGTACTGGGGTTGAGAGTAGAATTGGTGGTGGCTAGGAAGAAATATTACAAATTACGTGAATCGCATGGGATGACTATTAGTGTTGGGTAAGTTAAGTTTTTTCTTCGCAAAAATTATGTCACATCAACGTCAAATCATTATTCAGTTAGCTATTTTGTGAAGCAAAAACATAAATCTATCGCTATCTAAATCTCAAACTAATCATCAAGGTTGGAAGGTTAAACTACATAGTCTATATATACAGGAACTGTGTTGTTGCACTATCAACTTACCCAACAAAAAGTGAGAATAAAATTAGGTTGAAAAACACTGGTAGCAGAATATGACAATTGTTAGCCTTTTGAATGCGACATTATCATTTTCAACATCCATTGAAAGAATGTAGGCAAATAGAGTTAGATTTGTGATGATCATCTAAATTTGTTGAATTAATCATTTTTTCATAAAATCTTATCAAATGGGAGTTTTAATATACTAGAAATCGTATAACACATACGATGCATATACAAAATACTTGTTTAATAACATAATTATTAAATGCTTTGGAGAGAGAGAGAGGATCAAGATGGGTGCCTAGGAATAAGCAGCGGTGTCAACTTCGACTCGTTTATACGAATCCGACATGACACGATTGTAAAATTAATACGATTATTAAATACGTAATAAGTGGTTTAGATTAATGTTTGATACTTAGAATACAATAAATATATTTTTTTTTTCGTAAGTCTTGATATGAACACGAAACGAATAATAATAATACAACATGAAAATATCAACATGCGAGTCATACTCTACGATACGACACGAATTAACACCCCTGTGTATGACACTTCGTGTGAATAGTGAGAATATTAATTTAGTGGACTATTGAAGGACTTGTCTACAGTAGAAAAAAATTCAGTACTGTGTCTCTAAAATTTACTACTTTAATAAATATTTTTTTTTATAATTTTTGTAAATCATATTACAACAAAAAAAAATTTATATCACTGTT